GCTCGGGAGGGCAAGGCCAGGCCCGCAGGCCCTGGGCTCCGCGAGGCGCCTGTCGCCTGTCGCGGTGGTTCTGAGTCCCGTGACTTGAGTGGCCTCCTGGGTCTCGCAGGCAGACCAGCAGCCGCAGGCCAGGCCGAGCAGGCTACACACCTGCTTCCCTCCAGGGCCACCCACCCTCCATGCTGGGGCTCCCGGGATGCACGGGGACTTCTGAAGAAAGGGTGAAGAGCTGGGCCTGGGCAAGCTGGGTCAAAGGATAACACCACAGCCGAGAATAATGGCACACGCCTGTATCCCAGCTCAACCTTGAGCCCAGACTGGGCAATTTAGTGACTTCTGGAGACCCTGGCTCACAATAAAAACTAGGGAATGCTCCGCACTCCACCCTTCAGACCACAGCTCTCATCTACTGAGAATTCTGTAACTGTTCTGAACATCTAATTCGCACATCTGAACTCTCGGGACAACCCTGCGAAGAAGGTCGTCGATCGCTCCCGTCTCACAGACAACAAAACTGAGTCTTGGAAAAGGCTGGTTCGCACACAGCTCGTGAAGAGCTAGGATCCAAACTCGGCCCTTTATGCTGCTTGGCTGTTCTGCACCCCTTACCTTAGCGAGCAGCTCTGAGTCCCAGGCCCCGCGGCCTATCTCTCGGGACAACCCTGCGAAGAAGGTCGTCGATCGCTCCCGTCTCACAGACAACAAAACTGAGTCTTGGAAAAGGCTGGTTCGCACACAGCTCGTGAAGAGCTAGGATCCAAACTCGGCCCTTTATGCTGCTTGGCTGTTCTGCACCCCTTACCTTAGCGAGCAGCTCTGAGTCCCAGGCCCCGCGGCCTAGGCGACGCGCGCTCTCGTGGCACAGCAGAGACGTCGGGTGCGCGCCCCCGAGTCGCCTTCCTCGCTTCCGCCCGCCCCGGCCCTTTATTAAAGCGGCTCCCAAGCCTTGACCCGCGGCGGTGACACCCGAGCCCTTGGTGCTGGAAGGACCAGGGCCAGCACCCAGCGGACGTCATCATGAGGAGGAGGGCGCATGCGCAGGGCTTGTCTGGACGGCGACGCTCTGTCGCCTTTCTCCTGTTGGGGATTTTCCTTTTTATGAAAATACGCGGTGGTTAGTGAAGGTACTTGCTAGAGTGTTTGCTTCCGCAGCGTTGATGATGGCAACCTCCAGGAAAAGAAAAGAAAATGTAAATGCCCATGTTCAAGGCCAGAGGGTGGGTTAAATAAATTATACCATAGTATGAGTATAGGGTGAAGTAGTATATAGCCATTAAAATGACTTTTAGCTGGGCGTGGTGGTGCACACCTATAATCCCAGCACTCTGGGAAGATGAGGCAGGAGGATTCCAAATTCAGTCCAGCCCAGCCTAGTCAATTTGACAATTTAGTGAGACCCTACCTTTTTTTTTTGAGACAGGGTTTCTTTATGTACCCCCAGGCTGGCCATCTTCCTGCCTTTGCCTCGTGAATGCTGGAATTATAGGCATGCATCACCACAGCCTGCCAACTCTGTCTTTAAATATAAAATAAAAGGGTCAGGTTCAGTGCAAAGGCCCGGATTCAATCCCCAGTACTGCAGAAATAAAAACATTTCACTGGGCTTCCAAAAATTTTTTCTTGGGGGAAAAAAGATGTATTGAAGGATGTAGTCAAAGATTTAGTAATGAGTTAAATATTCACAATAAAATATTCACAAGAAAATAGCCGACAGTGAGTGTTCAATAAATGTTAGTAATTGTTATTGCAAAACAAAAATATTAATGAACAATATGATTTTAGTTTTTGTTTTTCATGCATTCATGTATTTATTGTGAAAGTAAAAATTGAGAAATTCCAACAGTAATTATCTTTGGGAGATAGGATTATGAGCTTTACTTTTTCTGTGTGTGTGTGTGTGTGTGTGATTTAACAAGTGGTGTAATTATTGAGCCCAGGCATATGAGACCAGCCTGAGCAATACAATGAGACCCAGTCTCTTAAAAGAGAGACGAAGAAAGGCAAGACTGGCTTTAATAATTTCAGGCTGAGGGGAAAAAGTCGTGTACCCAGAGTGGTGGTGCATGCTTGTAATCCAGCACTCTGGGAGGCTGAGGCAGGAGGATCAGGAGTTCAAGTCCCACCTGGACAACTTAGCAAGACTGTTTCTAAAGAAATAATGAATAGGGCTCTGGAAGGCCCTGAGTTAACTTCCCAGTGCCTCAGAAAAAGGCCTGTCACATTGATCTATTTTTCTGAAGCTCAGGGCTCACTGACTTCTGTGTCATGGCTGCCTTGAGAGAATGGGCACCCCAGGTAAACAAGTTTCTCACGTTGGCTTTTTTAGGGAGAGTGATTTGTTTGTTTGAGGTACTGGGGATGGAACCCAGGTCCTTTGCACTAAGCTACATCCCTAGCTCTTTTTATTTTTTGAGACAAGTTCTCACTAAATTGCTCAGGCTGGGCGCAAACTTGTGATTCTCCTGCCTCAGCCTACAAGACACAGGATGGTTATTTTATTTATTTTTTTGTACTGAGGATTGAACTTGGGTCCTTGTGCTTGCAAGGCAGGTGGCGGAACCATTGAGCTAAATCCCCAGCCTGGTATGTTTTATTAGTACATATTTGTCATATATATTGATCACATTCACCATAGAGATTTTTTATTTATTTACTTACTTATTTTTTTGGTAGCGGGGATCTAACTCGGGCCTTTGCACTTGTGAGGCAGGCGGCAGAACCACTGAGCTAAGTCCCTGGCCACCGTAGGGATTTTGTACCTATACATATCTTAATTTTTTCCCCATTCCCCTCCGCTCTTCAACCCTTCTTCCCCTCTCCATTTATAAAAGCTTTGTTTTCTTTTCCCTCCCTTCCCTTCCTCTCCTGCTCTCTCGTTCCCTTTCTCATTGGAATACGTTCTTCTTACTTCCCAATATCTATCCTCCATTGAGAAACAATGCAATATTTAAACTTGTGTGTCTGATTTATTTCACTTAAGATTATGTCAAGGTGCATCCATTTTCCTACAAATGACTTGTTTAACCTTCTTCAGGGCACAGTAGCACTCCACTGTATATAAAAACATTTTCTTGATAGGATGGATTTTCTCAGCCAAATGGCTGCGTGGCTCCTTCCTCCTGCCAGTTCTCTGAACCCCGGGTGTTCAGGCATGGCTTTCAGAGTTAAGGGCCCTCCTGACTTCCCACCTCTCCTTAGCTTGAAGCCAGTCTCAGAGATCCAGTCCCTCCCAGAATTCCTGCAGGCAAGCTCATCTGCATACCTACGGGACCAACTGTGGTCCTTTTATACTTGCTTCCAGTTTCGAGTCTTCCCCATGGGACCAGCACATAGCCTCAGGTTATGTATGGGCTGTCGCCTCTGGGACACATGTGGAACCTGCACGTGGCCCTGAGAGGTGTGGAGGACGCTGAAGGGAGCGACACTTCCTGTGGGAGGCCCTTCCTGCTGCCCCTGCCTGGGGCTGTGAGGACAGCGTGAGGCCCTCAGCCTCAGAGCCAGCTAAACACAGCTCTTTCCTTTCTAGGCCGTGCACCCGATCCAGCAAGAGCAGCCTGACTGCACTCATGGGTTCCTGGGCAGGAAGGTAAGGACAGACTTTTCGTCTTCCTGAGCAGAGCAGCCTGGGCAGAAGATGCACCACCTGCCTGACCACCTGCCTGACCACCTGCCTGATCACCTGCCTGTGGCTTCGGGGAAGAGACAGAGCCGAAGGCAGGAACCAACTCCACAGCCAGCTATTTTCCAATAGCTCATTTTCCAAGACTCATTTATTTTTTCTTCTTTTTTAAATTAGTCTCATTTCTGAGAATCTATTTTAAGGAAAACAACAACAACAAAATGTAGGGGGAAAAGCCAAAAACATAAAGATGTTTATTGAAGTTCTATTTATAGCTGAAGTAAATATATATATAGAAACAAAACATTCAACAAGAAAATGTCATGAAGTCATTTGAAGAAAAGATTCTATATCAACAGTGAAAAATACTGAGAAAAGAGCAGAGTAAAAGTTAAATATATACTTACAACTTTGTGAGGGGGAGAAGAAAGGAAAAAAAGGAAAGAAGAAGTATCCATGAAGAAGTCTTAGTTGTGTTTTCCCCTTTTTCTACAACTATCCCTTTTGTTTTTTGTTTCCGAGACAGGGTCTCACTGTGTAGCCCAGGCTGGCCTTGAACCTGGCCCAGCCTTGAGTGCTGAGATTACAGGGGTGCACCTTCCCATCCCTTTATCAGTTCTTTTTTTGGCACCGGGGATCAAACTCAGGACCCTGAGCTTGCAAGGCAGGCACAGTGCCACTGAGCTAAATCCCCAGCCCCCCTTGGTCACAGTTTTGAATGCTGCTCACGGGGCAGTGACGTCCTAAACCTCCCACCAGCCAGGGGTAGGCAGGACCTCAAGCAACCCTGCTCTGGGAGCAGGAGCCGAGGGCCTCACACATGTGCATCTACACTGGTGGGCACAGGAAGTCAGGGAGGAAGCAGCATCACCACAAAGGGCCCTGGCCACCTGGACGATGGCTCTGAGGTGGGTGGAGGCCACAGGACCAGCCGGCACCTTCCAGGCACGCCAGGCAGACCCCTCCGCAGCCCAGGGCAGGAAAGTAGCCAGCAGCCTCCCCCACTCACACGGGACATCCAAGCCTTGTGGGTGCTGGTCAGTACCTGCAAGGATGTCCTCCCGGGCCTGGCTCCCCAACACATTCGCTTGGCTCCTTGGGGTTGCTGCCCACCCAGGCTGTGCGACCTCCCGGGCCACTGCTCTCGACTCTGGTGTCAGCAGAGTCCCCCTGCCAGGGCAGCCGCTCCCCAGCCACCTGACCCAGACCCTTTTCTCCCTGCTCTGCTTCTAAGACCCTTACCGCTCCACTGGGGCCACTCGACTCACGGTAACTTATCTCTGACGTTCCTTCAGTCAGCCAGCGTCTCTCTGGTACCCGCTGGGCTGACGCTGACGGCTGACAGGGAGCCTCGCTCTGCCCCAGCCGACACCATACCTCCCCACCGAGGTACTTGAGCCTTCTGCACAGGGCTGCGGACAGTCATGTCAGGGCAAATAAGACGCAGGACAAAAGGACATTAGTACGGTGCTTTTTCCGTTTTTCTTTTTGCACAAAAACAGTCCATTTATTCAAGTGTTCTCCAGCACAAGTACATTAGAAAGGAGCTTTATTATATTCTTCTGGGCACAAAAAAAAAAATGTGATGAAGGCGGAACTGACAGACTTTCTACATCTGCTGTATGCATTGACCTCTTTAATTATTTCATAAACAGCTATGTCACGAGCATCACGTACACAGAGATACAAAAGAACACCAGGAGGGCGCGGCAGGGCCATGCGGAGCCCCGTGCACCATCCTGGGTGTCCCCGAAACCAGACTGTGAAATGTACATTATTATTGTCAATAAATAGAGAAGCAACCCTAAAAAAAAATACAGTGGTGAAAGGATGCTGGAACCAGGAAAAACAAACAAAGAGGAGAAAGAAAAAAAAAAAAGAAAGAAAAAAAGAAACAGGAACTCAAGAGAAAGGAAAAAGGGCCAGGGAGGAAGAGTCCTGGAGGTCCTGCATTTAGCTGCGTGGAATGTGGAGTAAAAGGTGCTCTGCCACCGGGGTCAAAGCGAAGTCGTCTGTAACAGTAAAGTTATTACCAAATCAGCTACGGAGTTTATTCTTCAGTATGAATACATGATTTCCCACAAATAAGTAAGCACCCGCTACTTCAATGCCTCAGCTAAAACACGTGAAATCGCTCACTTAGTTTTCAAGTACAAAGTTAAAATGCCTTTTTAATAATAATATATCAGAGTAAAATAATAGTCTCTTTGAAACTCCACTACAAGAAAACAAAACAAACAGTCATTGTCCAGACAGCAGACTTAATTTAACAATATATATTTTTAATAAAATGTTTTAGCACCTTGTTGAGTCACCTCCTCCCTCTGCGTATTCTAAGGAATTTCAGCATTTTGTTGTCTGTTGAATTCTAGGGCTGTGCAACCAAATCGGTCCATAAGTGAAATGGGACTAGAGATGCTTTAGCCCGCTGCTCATGTCCTCAGGCACAGGCTGAGGCTGCCAGCTGGGGGTGGGAGGAGCAAGCCCTGGGAGTTTTCCAGTTACCAGAGTTTGAGTCCAGGGGCCTCTCTCAAAGTTTGCAAGTCCCCACGAGCGAAGGGCCTTCCAGCGTTCCTCCTCCCTGCCTTCACCTGCCACAGTGCCACTGCCCGGGGTCAGATACATCCCCAGCCAAAGGGCCACCTCAAGCTGGGTCTCTGAATCCAACAGGTATGAGGTCCACCTCCAAAGACCTCAGCCTTCCTCTATCAAAATGTAAAGATAAAAAGCACACCCTGCAGCAGTGGAGTTCACTCCTCCAGTCCACCTATGCCCTTCCCCACCCCAGCACATGGCCTGGCCGGCAGGCTGCTGCGACTTGAGGTTAAACCCTGGCCGGGCCTGAAAGGCCAGAATGGCCACCATACCTCCAAGCCATCTCTTTGTAATACCTTCTCCAGCCTGCGGAGGTTGAGCTGTTTCTCGCCAGGGGGACACCTGGGGGTCACTCTAGTCACAGCACCAGGCGCAGGCAGACTGGAGCAAGGTCTGATGACAAACTCAGCTCCCTCGCCTCCCAGGACCAACACGTGGGCCTGCCTGGAAACTCAGCTCCCTGGCATGGTAGCTCTGCTGTCCCCCGACTGAACCAAGTCGGCAGCCCTCTTCAGGACACACCTCGGCTAACAGGCTCCCGGGAAAGGTCAGCTCCGAAAGACATTAGCACCACAACACTGCACCATGCACAATGGCAACAGGAAGTCAGGATCTACTCTGTACATACACTTCTACGACCAAAAACAGGAACACTAGTGCTGGTTTTTCCTGTAAAGAGCATCTCCCAGATGACTCGGCTCAATTCCTTCCCTCGCGTCTGTTCCACACTTCCGGCTACTGGAGGTGGGGAGCGATTAGGGCAGCCCGGGCTGCCAGCCTTGCCTTCCTTCACACCAAGCCTGCCTGTCCAGGCCACACCCTGGCCACTCACAAAAACCATAAGGGCCTCTGCCTGCCAAGCACTCCCAGGCCTGTTGGAAAGCTAAGAGGTCCCAGGAGCTTTTGGGGGGAAGTCTTTCTGATAGGATGTTCACTAACAAGGAGGCTCTGGGGTCTAGAGAAAGACAGACAGCAGACGCAAGAGCCTGACCCTGACCAGCCGGCCCCAAGCGCAGATTGCCAGTTGGTCCCACGGGGAGGGTTAGCACCAGCCAGCTTGACACCCTGCTGGGATCGAGTGAGCACCTCCGGCAGGAGGCCAAGGCTCTGGGACCCTGGCACTAGCACCAGCTACCTCCCCCAGGCAAGGGCCGTGGGTCTCTTTGGCACCATGTTCCACTTGGCACCTGCAGGAGGGAGATGTCACCCTTGGTCCCCAGGGAAAAGACATCCTTTTTGGAAAGGAACCCACGGGGCACCTTCCAGGATTCTTCTCAGACTTTCTTAGTTTTTCCCACTCCACTGCCTCTACCCTTGGCCTCATCTATAGCAAGCACAGCAATTCCGGCCTACGGCTTCTGTGACCTTACCTCAGCTAATGAGGCACAGCTCCCCTTTGGAAGGTACCCCATACCTGACCCCAGGAATACCCCCACAGGGGTGGAGGAAGAGCAACCCAGCTTGGCCAAGATGGCGCAGCCCGAGTCCTCTACATCCTAGCAAGTTTTACTGTGAGACCAAGTCCACAGGTTGGGCTGGAAGAAAAGCTGGTGATTAGCTCCTGTGCCTACGGGGGACCCATTCTGGGGGTCACTACAGTGAGGGGAACAAGTACTAGGTAGCCACAAGGTGGCCTCTGCCTACCACCCAATCCCGGAGCAAGCTGGTGACCGGAGCCCTTCCCGAGGCCCAGCACCCACCTGGGGGGAGCACCAGGCCCAGCTAAGGTGGTGCTCGGCCATCAGGTACAGCCGACTCCTCGCGTAAGCAGGGGACAGAGCTTGGGAGAGCCGTAGCGCCCGAAGGCAGCCCAGACTGTCCATCGCAGGGAGCTGGGAAGACCTCGGCGCTGGCCAGCAGGGGAGGGAGCACCTTGGACTGCCAGAAGCAGCCGTCCTCCCCACAGCCCTCCTGGACTGGTGCTGGTGGACTCCAGGCCAGAACAAAGCCCTGCTGGGGCAAGGAGGGGACGGGCCGACACATTTAGCATGGAGTGGGGGGGTCTCCCCTCTTCTAGCTGCTCCAGTCCCAGGGCCCAAGCCACCACCTGCACATCAGGAAAGTGGCAGGGAGCAAGCGGGTGTGACCTCAACTCCACCTTCGGAGGAGGAGGCAGAGTAGGGCCAGGACCACACACCCCAAAATGGAAGGAGACAAGCCACCAGCCGTGCGATTACTTCTGAGTCATGAGCAAGGGGTTCAAAGCCTGCTTCGTTTTGTTGCCGATTACTGTTTTGCTTTTTTTATTCAAAAGGTTAACTTTAGTCCCATTTTTGCTTTTTTCTCTGTCACAATGGAAGCCTCACAGCCAAGACAGACAGACGTCAATTTGATTTTGGTTGGGCGAATAGGTAGGGGGAGTGGAGGGCTGACTTTACTGGTGCCTAGAGTTGCAGGTCAGAATCACAGGTTGCTAACAGAAGAATCTTTGACATCACCAGGGGCAAAGGGGCTTAGAACACGACCTGCTAGAGGAAGCACCTGCTCCACCAAACCTCCTCGTCCTGCCTTCAGCACCTAGCAACTTCTGAGATCGACAGTCTGCCTGCAATCAGGGCAACAGAGGTAAAGAGCTGCGCGGGCTGACTCCACAAAGTCCTGAATCTGGGGAGAGGAGCCGGGGCTCCCTGTGTGTGAGTGCACTCGCTACACGTCCAGACAAAAGCGGGTTCCTGTGCATGTGTGAGAACTGACTGGTGTGGGGCTCTGTCTGTGGCGGGGACCCGGGCTCAGCACTGAGCCCGCCCCCCCGACCCCACTGTGTAATATTTCTTATACATGACCCTATCTACGTATTTATATAGAGCCTATCATCATAGGCCCCATCTTTGTAGGGATGCAGACCTGGGACCGTGTGCTTGATGGCACACCTCCCAGTTCTGCCGGGCCCAGGAGGTGCCGCCCCCCCTCCCATTATAAAATATATATCTCTATATGCCACATATCTACACCCCATCCACCCAGGCAAGCTCTGCCCGTCGGGCTCTCAGCCCCAAGCCAACAGCGCCATCCGCCCCACCGCCGGTGCCGGGCTGCCAGCCCTGGTGGGAAGCGGAACAAAGTGCGAGCATGTGGGGCCCAGGCGCTGCCGACTCGAGGCAAGAGCACAGCTATCATCAGACCAAACACTAGAAAATAAACACACACCACTCCAGCCACACACACGAGGAGAGGGGCTGCTCCAGCCCCTCCCCGGCCCTGACACACCTGATCACGAGGAGGGGAGTAGAAGAGAAGAGGGACAGCCGGAGGGCAGGCCTCGGGGACTCCCTGGCCACCCAGCTTGTCTCTGCGCCACCCAGTGGCCCACCTGGTCCGAGGGGTAGGAGCCAGGGCACCAGAGCCACTGCTGCCTTAGAAGCACCCTGCTCCCCGCACCTTGGTTTGAAACCTAAAGGGAAGGGTGTTGGGCTTTTGTTTTCTTAAAGAAAATCTTAAAACAAACAATTATAACCAGAACCATAAGAATAATTATAATAAAAGGTGTCATCAGCCTCCCAGTATAAAACTGCAGCCTTTGGAGATGACCAAAAACATCACATTCCAGGGGCCCAGAGCCGCCTTGTGCACAGAGGGGAGGATCGTGGGGGCCTCATAAAAGAACACACAAAAGGCGACTTAGACAGGAAAGCACCAGTACGTTTTGTATGTTTTTTTATTTGCTCCAGGTGGGGTTTGTAACGGTCACTTTCCCGCACTCTGGATTATTTCTGATCCCACCACAAGGAGCCCTCGACTCTGCTCATAGGAGAAATCAGGAATGAAGACTCCTTACCCTGCCATCTGCCAAGGGAGTCTCCATTTTCGAGAGATTTCAAAGGTTACTGCAAGAGCCCAGATGAACTCCACGCCACGCTCAGCTCCCCAGCTCCTGACCACCCCAGCTGACCCCATTTGGCAGGGAGAAGTGGGGAATGCCGCTCCCCAATTCCCCTCTTTCAGCTTATTAAGAACCAAGGGGGAAACCCCACCAGACAGCAAGGTGTCTCCAAGCTGAACCCCTTTCCCATCCTTGGTTAAAACCCCTTGCACATAAGGCCAGGTGGAAGCTGATGTTTTTACTCATCTCGCTGTTTTAAAGCACCATTATGAAGTCAGGTTGTACAGTAGTTAACAGTACCTTTTATATATATATCTCATATCTATCATATATATATATAAACTGTAAACAAGAGGTAACAGCGGCTTCTAGAAACTGGTTTTCTTCAAGGTTTCCTGTGTGGTAGGCACCTGAAATACTGTAGAAAAGTATCTGTGTGGTGATCTCGTCTCCCTGCTGCTAGTTGGGTTCTGTTTGTATGACCAGGAATGGTGCTGGTTAGACAGCTCAGAGGCTGGGAGGGAAGTCGGCCACCGAGCGTCTAATTTTCTGCCCCTGCTTGTGCTCCTATCTGATCAGGCTAGAGACAACAACAACATAAAGATATATAGTAAAAAGAAAAATACCCAATATATAGATTTCTATAGAATTTCCTTTTTTCATCTCTCTGGCCTTTCCTCTGCTAGATATTGTTACTACTTTTTGTTACTGATTTCTGCTGCAATAACTCTCTCGCTTCAGTCACAGCAAGAAACAAAAACCCAAACAAACAGAAAACCCCTCTGAAAGAGTAGAAAACAAAAGGTTTGACCCAAAAAGGGGGGAGTAGGGAGGGGGCTTGATTTTGCTTTTTAAATAGGACTGAAGATTAACATTGAAAAATCAGGAGATGATGTCCAACCCTTTCACAAGGCAAAGCCCTCCGGTATTTCCACCTCTGTGGTTTTTGTTTTAAATTCCTTTTTCTCTTCTGGGTGCTGATACTTCTCTCCATCCTCATGTTCTTGGTGTTTTATTGTTTGTGTTTTTTGTTTGTTTGTTTAACTTTGTGTCACTACCTCAGTTTGCCCCCATGTCCCTTACACACAAGCAAAATATTCCTTCAGCGGAGCGAAGAGGTGGCGGATGACTGGCACACTCCAGGACCGGCCCAGCAGCCTCTGCCTCGCCAAGCGGCTCATGTTGGAGACGTCGGTATAGTGGACAGGGAAGCCAAACACCCTGGAGAGGAGAGCGGAGAGCAGAGCAGGGTGAGTGCGGGTGCCCGGAAGCCTGACCACACAGCGGGACAGGAGCGGGTGACCGGGTGACACCTGTCACACCTGAGGCCAGGCGCCAAGCCCTCTGCCCTCCACACACAACACTCGCCTGGACCACTGCTGGCACCCAGGCCACGCAGGCCTCTGTGACCCAAGGGCAGTTGACATCACCCAGGCCCAGGCTCACATCCAGTGGAAACAAAGCCGGTGTTTGTAAAAAGGCCTAAAATGCCTCCCTGGCAAGCTCTACAACTCCCCTGCAAGTGAGGTCTAGATCCACGATGGACAGCTCAAGACTGAAAGCAAAACGTGTACATCCCTCGAGTAGTCCCAGAGAGGAGAGGAGAGGAGTTCCAAAAAGGAGTCAAACTCGCCTGGCTTCACAGGTTCAAGGATTTCCTGTTTGCTATGGTTATTTCTGCAAATGGTGTTTTTGTCTGCTAAATCCTAGTTCTATTGAACCAGGAGTTAAACCAGACCCGAATCCAACTTGCACCAAATGAGGGTTTGGGGACGGGGTGGCCCACCTGTACCCCCGGCGCTGCACTGCTCCACCTCCTAACACACAGCCGTGCCAGTCAGGGGAGCCCTGGGAGCCAGGCACCAGAAAGGTTTCCTGCACCCCTTGATTCAGGACCAGCTGTGATGCACGCAATAGTCCTCCCCCAGGGCCCTGCCAAGCTGGAGAAGGCGTGGTAAAAGCTCCGCCCAGGATCTGTGGACAACATAAGCCTGGCGGGCAAAGAAGGAAGCCCAGCTGTACCCTTTGAAAGCACAGCATTCGGAACACACGGCCCATGCCACCCAGCAGAGACACGGGTACCTTTCCATTTCAGTGCACCATAAGATGTCCTCTTTCTCATTCATGAAGACGGGGAAATGCTGGTCTTTGCCCTGCTTTATGGAGTTTGACCTAGTAGTAATGGTCCTCACTTTGCTGAACTAGAAGATGAAGAGGAGAAAGAGGGATGAGCACATATCCGGCTGGGGCTGGGCTGGGCTGGGCAGGGCAGAGCGGGTTCACAGGCGCGAGCCTCCCCGTCCCTGCTGCCCTGCTTCTCTTCCCACCCTGAAACCACCTGGCCATCCTCGGCCTGGGCTCACTGGTCAGATGTGAGGCAGGCTCTGGTCATGACACTTCCTAAATCCTACAAAGGCTCCCAGGGGGTGTATTCAGAGGACCTGAGGCTCCCAGACGCACTGCAGCTCAGCAGCCCCGAACCCCAGAAGAAACCCACTTTCTAGGAGATGCCACTCTCTCTGATGACTCTTGCAGTGAGTCGTGGTCAAAAACAGGTTTTAAAGGCCACAGCAGAACTGTGGTAAAGACTCCTCAGTGCTACCTCCCAGAGGAAGGGAGGAAGCCCTGAGGGTAGCAGTCCTGGACCACCCCAGCCAACCGGCCACCTGACTGTCCCAGGCCCGAAGCTGCATGCTCTACACCTGAGGTGCAGGCAGGACACCGCCTGCCACCGTACCGCTCCTCATCCCGCCTCCAGCAAAGGCCCTGGTGTGGGCTGACCTTGGCTATCCTGCCGTGTTCCAGACACTCCTGCAGCTCCAGCTTATCATTCACAGTGGATGCCAGTGGCCTAAAAGGTAGAGGAGAGCACATGACAGCAGAAACCCGAGGGGACAGCAAGAAAGTCCCCAGCAAGGGCGCTCACCAGCAGTGGCCCCTGACGCACGAGGACAGTGCAGATTATAACCCCTATGAACTTTCACCTTGGACACATCGGCCAGACCTCACCCTTACAGGCAACTCCAAAGGTGGTCTCCCACTACCAAGAGGCAGATAAGCCTGCCCCAGAAGGAACAAGGAGAAAAAGCCCAATATTGTTTGTCTGTAAGTTCTGGGACAAAATCTCATTATGTAGTTCAGCTGGTCTGGCCCTGAGTGCTGGGAACAAGGGTGCACCTGGGAATCCCATACCAGACAACAGCACAATTTTTAAAAAATTGATGATTTTTTAAATATGCTGTTTGTCTCACAACAAAGCAAGCTTTAGGAGTGAGAGAATGTTCTCTATAGTTTTTTTGAGGCTGGCTTGGAACTCTCGGCAATCCTCCTGTCTCAGTGAGTGCTGGGATCAGAGGCGTGTGCCACCATGAGTGGCTGAACCCTGATGTGTGCTCACGATTCGTGGGTGTGAATACTGGATAAAACTCACCAGCTGCACACTTTAACACACCAAGACTGAAATTCTGCAAAGTCCCCCAAGGACTAAAATCCTCAGGGGGCAGGCAGACACTGACACTCTCTGACTGCTGTGCCAACAGCAGCACTGAACGAGGGTTTCCCATGGCACCCAGATCTCAGCGTGGGGACCGGGGCCGGTGGCTACGATCCCTGTACACCTCCCTGTCTGCTGTCTACTTGCATGCACAGCCTAGCTGGCTCCACACGGTCCCTCCACTAGTTCTGGAACTTCAGAATCCTTGTATTGTAGGGTTGGAAGAGGTGGGTGGCAATAATCCTACTGGAGCACAGTCCGCCAGGGAACACTGAACGAGTAGCTCCACAGAAACACAGAGCCAAGCAAGTGCATCTCCTCCCCACTGACAAGCTCTTGCAAAAGACAGTTGTCTGCCAGAAGGTCCTCCAAGCTCATGTGAGTGGCAGCGCAGAGCCGACTGAAGACACGTTAAATGGTGCTTTCTATTTACAAGTACGGCAAGGAGGTGCCGAGGAGGTTTACAATCCACGATTCAATATGTGCTGGAAAATACAATCCTCCATAATGAGTCTCCAGATCAGGAGGCACTCTCTGCTTTTAAATTGAAACTCCGGAATAACTCCTTTCTCTGAAGGCCTTTCTATAATGTAATTATTACACCCAAAGGGATGAAATTTTCTTCAGTCCCAGTATTAAGACCTTTACCCATATGATCTAAATGAAGAAAGTCCTTCCCTTCCAACAGAAGACACAAAGCCAGCACAGTGTGAAAGAAAACAAACAGAACCCTTCAACTTAAGACACTGCTGCTTCAGACTCCCTCTCCGGCGTGCCAACCCTTCGCACACCATCCCGTCACACAGGCTTTCTCTCAGGAGCGCCTAAGGACAGCTGGCTCTGGACACACTGAGTGAGGCAAGAGAGGCAGCTTGAACTCCAAAGCACAGGCTTCTTCTGCGCAAAAAAATGCACTCTGCTTTTTTGTGGCTCTGGAGATTGCACTCGGGCCTTGTGCATAATAGGCCAGCACTCACAACAGTGTGCAGCAGGCCTCAATCCTGCCATCTTTCCATGTCAGCCTCCCACGCAGCTGGGCTTACCAGTGTGCACCTCTGTGCCCAGCTAAGAATGAAACTTCCAAAGTCCCGTTTAGACCAACAGTCAAGGGCTTCTTGAGGCAAGTACTTCCTGTGCCCTGACTCTCCTTTCTCAAGGGATAAAAAACACAGCAGAGCAGCAGGCACTGAGCAAAGGAGGCCAGCCCAGGAGGGACCCCTCTGTCCCCCGTCCCTGGGCCATCCCGTCTGCTGGCAGCACCCACAGCATCCAGCCCCTAGCCCCGGAGCGCTCACCAACCTGTTCATACCGGGAAGGTTACCCCAGAAGTAGCGGGCCCTGTGTGCAGCTGACACTTCTTTGGCATCAATCATCACAGGGTTGGACTATAAAACAGGAGAGTTTAAAGATGAGCAAAGGAGAACATTAACTAGTGCTCGGTGATTCTGCTCATTGAGAGCCTAAAGCTCACAGGCTCACATTTCTGTCAAGTGCCACACATATACCATGGTGGCCTGAAGCCTCTGGGAGAGCTGGAATTAACCCCTTGCCACACACAAACCCCAGCTTGCCATGTTCCGCATGCAGGATGGTGCAGACCAGCACTGTCCCAGTGTACTTTCCATGTGGACAGGAATTCTTACCTGTGGGCATTGCTCCTTGCTGTGGCCACTAGTCCACTAGTTTGTATTTGAAACAAGGCCAGTGGGACTGAGGACTGGGATTTTTCACGTCAACAGGCACACATGGCCGATGGCTACCATGTTGGACGAGGTGCCCCAGACCATGCAGACTCCAGACAGAGAGGCATCCATGAGCCTGGGTGTATGCACTGCACCCAGATTACAGGCCAAACAGATGCCACTCACATTTAAAGTCAAACGACAGGCCTGAGGTGTCACTCAGCCTAAGCCAGCGGCCCATCCAAGAATGCCTCTGGCAGCAGAAATCCTCTGTGCATGGCTCACAACTAAGAACTGAACTGGGACTCAGGTCATAGGATATAAATTGTGATTAGGATGTTTGCTTCCAGGTACCATGGTGCCAGGGAATGAAAACAGGCCAGTCTGGTCAGAGAAGATTGAATGTGGCATCTTAAAGGTGTCTCCGTGTATATATAATAGCACACAGAATTCCCTCCCCAAAGTGCCTGATACCTCACACTAACTAAAGTTGGGTCCTTCATCAGCACCATCTACTACCTCACAGAGGTAGTTCTATTCCTTCTGGCAGCCTCTAACTGGCTCCCTCCTATTCTACTTGGGAAGCCCTGAGCATCCCACACAGGCCCCTTTCAAAGCAGAAATTCCCAGTCCCCAGCTCCACAATGCAGATGAGACAGTAAGGACGTGTGCCCAAGGTAGAAACCATTATCGAGCTGTCCGGCCAAACCAAGGTTGCTGGCTGTACCTCGAGAAATCGCGAGATGTCCCTCTTGTCACTAACGCCCATGGCCACCACATTCTCAAAGAGCCAGAAGAAGGGGCGGTCATCTCCCTCTTTGGGCCGCGCATCATGCAGGAGGCGGTAGAACTCAAAGAAAAGCCGGCCAGTGCCCTCTGAGAGGTCAGAAGAGAAAGTCATCAGCTGGGGCTGTCTGCACCCGATAGTGGTATGGGGAAGGCAGGCTCACGGGGGAAGCTGTCCCAGGGCAGAATGACACCGAGGCACCCTTGCAGAGGGTGGACAATGAGGACAGGACCTACCATAGAGTCCCTTGCGGGCAGGGTTGACGATGGAGAGATCATTGCAGGGACTGCCCCCAATCACCAGATCGAATGGGCCCCACTCCTGGATCTGGGAGGATAAAGATACTATGACAGGTCTGCTGTCCCGGGACAGAGGCAGAAACTGAGCTGTGAACGTGGCAGAGCCATAAAGGCTCTGTGTACCCAGCTCCTACACAGGGAGGAAGCACAAACTGGATCCTGCCTGAGGCCAGCAGGGAACCCCCAGCGAGCCAAGCAGGATCAGCAGCCAGAGTAGGAAGTACACCAGATGGCACTCACACTGAGCACCACAGGTGGGCTGTCTGGGTCATGGGAGAGTCCTTCGGATTCGAGGTAGACCCAGAAAATTTGAAAGGCAGAGGACCTAGGCAAGACCCTGCCAGAGGCCCCTAAACGGCAGGGGGTAAGCCATGAAGCCACCTGCCAAAATATTAAGAGTACAGGAACCTTTCCAATCCAAAGCACTCCATCATAAAGGGCCTTGAGGAGGAGACCCAAAACGCAAGTTCCCAAATCTTTGTTGGCAATACCAGGGATCCAAGCCATGGCCTTGAACTGCTATGCAAGTGCCCCACTGCTAAGGTATGCCCCAGCCCCCAGGCCTTCATGGTACAGGGCTCAAACCCAGGGGCACCCATCAGAGCCAGATCCCCAGTTGTTTTTGAGAAAGGATCTTGCTCAATTGTCCAGGCTGGACTTAAACTAGCAGCTATCTCCGTCTCGGTCTCCCAAGTGGCTGGGAAAATGGGATTCCCATTTTTAATCTACCCACTACCCCTGCAAGTCAAAAAACAGAAGATAAGGAGAAGCAGAGGGGAGAGGGGGTGATTAGAACAGATGAACAGGATGGGAAGGAGGGCAGGGCGGCCTCAGGAGCTATGTGCAGGGTGCGGGGGAAGAGAAGGCAGGGTGCCGCCCACAGCATTGACATACGTGCTTCTGCGTGACGCTGCGGACGTCCCCGACGTACATGATCTTGCCCTGGTGCCGCACCATGCCCACCGTAATGGAGTCTTCACACACCTCTGAGGCAATGTAGCGGTCCACCTGGATGCCCAGGTCCTTCAGCACCAGGAGCCCTGTGCCAGCCAGCAGAGAGCTGTCACCTGCCCTGGCACCTGCTCTTAGCAGGTGAGCCCCCTGGCAAGCTGGACGTAAAGGCTCGACTGCAGCCCAAGCCCTACTGTGCCCATGAAGGGGCCTGAGAGTCTTTCTTGCCCAAACTGGAACATGAACGGCCAGAGAGCCCTGTGGTTCTGGTTCAGACCTAGCTTGGCCTGGCTGGAAAGTGGTCAGAGCCAGGAGAGACTGACCAGAAGTAGATCAGCCGCTACCTGTGGGAGGCCTCTCTGTAGTTTCTACATCTGCCTCTCGGTCCCTCCTCACCCCTCCACAGCTTCGGCTACAACTCCGCCGGACCTCCAAGGCCCAACCGAGGGCCACCTGCTCCCCCACCCTGCCTGCAGCTGTCTGGAACCATCTCCCCTTCCTCTGGAGGTCTTCAGTACTTTGTATCTCAATCTCGGTAGAACAGTTATCTTCCTAGTTCTGCTCCTCTCCATTGTAAGTGTCCTCGAGACCAGCATGCATTCTGTGTCGACTTCCTTACCATGACCCCGCTATCAGTAATCAGTGCTGCTGCCTGAGGCGAGGAAGCAGACTGGAGAAGAAACTGGTGGACTTCAGGAGAAATGGGGGACAGTGGTACCATTTCTACGGCTCCTCACAGGTGTCCCTGCCAAGGAGCTTTTACACCCTTGTGGGTGTGACATGATTTCAGAAGGCTCAGAGAGATGCAGCACGGGAAACCAAAGCTGCACGTGAACTCTCTAGATTTACAGGACACCAGCAGGGGCTGAGAACAGAAGACAGACATCTAGCTGGGGTGCCAGCCACACCTCGCCGTTGGGCCAGAGTCCCTGGACTCAGACGGCCAGTACGGTTCTCTGGTCACAGGAAGACGCAAGGTCTACACAGCAATTCTGCTCTTAAGACCCGAGAGGCTCTCAGCCTGGGGTGATGGCAGAGGAGCAGCCACACACACAAGGTCCGTCAGCCTCTGAGGAAGGCTTTCTGGCGGAATCCAGAGTCACATGGAGCCTACAACAACCAAGCATTTCCTAAGAGCTTTTCCTAAGGATAATGGTTTTAAGTATATAAAGATATACTCAGGCCTCTCAACCTAGGGCCTCATGTATTAAGCACATAAAGATGTATTTAGAAGGACGTGCTTACAATGAAAAAACAGGAATAACTTCATAGGAGGTTAAATTATGACATCCTCACTCAAGGAATCCTATGTAGCACTTACAAATGAATGTAACTCTGTACTGGTTGACATGAACAGTACTCATAATAAATGACAAGGCAAGTTACAAAACAGTATGCATTTACTATCTTGTTTAATATATCTACAGACACACCATTATTTAAACATACACAAGCACATAGAAAAAACCCTAAAAAAATGTTAATTACAGGATCACTAATCTTCTTTAGATTATCTGGTTTATAATCAAAACACAACACAACTGTGTACATTTTGGTCACCAAGTCTGTCCTCTGAAGCTTGTCAAAATCTTGCTTGCTGTCCTCTGCCGCAGACTCTCCCTTATGGAAAATGCCCACTAGAGACGGGTTTACCTGTCTTGCTTTACTTTTTATTTCTGGCCAAATCCCGTGCCTGTAGACTGTGTAACTTTTCACGTAACATGTAAGTTTCTTTTTCTTTAGCACTGGGGATTGAACTCAGGGCCTTGTGTATGCTAAGTGCGCACTTTACCACTAACCCACATCCCTAGCCTTCTCCCCTTTTCTTGTTTTTTATGAGACAGGATCTATGTAGTTGAAGTTGGGCCTAATCTCACTACGTAGCCCAGGCTGGTCCTCCTGCCTAGCCTCCGTGCTGGGACTACACGTGTATGCCACCATGCCCAGCCCTAGCTTATTTTTACTCTGACACAGGATCTCACTAAGTTACCCAGGCTGGTATGAACTTGTGGTCCTCCTGCCTCAGCCTTCTGATTACAAATGTGGCAACCACACCTGGCTCTGAAAACTTCCTCTTCAGGGTATATTTTACTGTGGTGTCAACAATCATTTTGTTTTGCCAGAGTTGTGTATGGGCACACAGAGCTCCCATCTACGGACATGGAGACCAGTACTCTTGGGACCCATGCCACTCACCAGTAGCAATTCCGTCAAAGAGAGACAGCACCCGGATGGGCTTCCTCTTCTCGGCTGGCACAGGTGGATAAACCTTCGGAGGGTCCTAGGCAGGGAGCACAGCCAGTCAGGCAACGTGCAGGGGCGTCATCCAGACACTGCACCGGCCTGGCTCCCAGCCCACGAAGAGAGCTTCTAGACCTGCACACCACACAAAGGTCTGGGGCACACCTGCTCTTTGCCGAGGCCCCACAACACCCTGCAGCACCCACACAGGCTGAGTCTCATGGAAGGGCCCAGGAGAACACGGGGAACGTGCCCTACGGCTCAGCACTTACAAATTCCTGGTCGTGGTTATTGGCGAAGAACATCTGGAGCCGAGATGGCCAGTCTTCACGCCGTCGCAGCAGACCGTAGGTGCCCTTGTGCCCGCACATGTAGCAGTTCCAGGGGTCTTCCTTGATGGCTGCCTGGGCAGCCCCAGGCCCCACCAAGAGATCCACGCACTCCACGCAGAAGCACCTGAGAGGAGGCCCAATGAGCGGGGACATTCCGGCCTGGTGCAGGAGGCCCACAGCGCAACCCGGGCGGCAGCGCACAGCCCCGGCACGGCTGCAGGAACCCAGGTCCACCGCACCTGCAGCAGTTGTTGTTCCCGCACATGAGCACCTCGCGTCCCCCGCAGCAGATGGTGCAGTAGGACTGGTAGCCGTCGTCATCGTACTGGTACGCACACTCCAGGAAGCAGTTCTAGGCAAGAGACGGAGGGTCAGAGACCGCCAGGGCACGGTTCAGCACAGCCGAGGTAGAGGTGGGCTCCGAACAGCCCAGTGGCACCTTGACACGGCCCCAGAGACAGGCCTTGCCTCCCAGGCCTCAGAAGGCAGCTGCCCACCACCTCGGTTCCTCCTAGGGGTCCTGGGCCATGGCATGCACCTGTCAGTGTCCCCACCCTCGCATGGAGGCGGTGTGGTTACAAGCCCTGCCCCTGCCCACAGCTGGGCTACAAAGGGCTTGGGAGGATCTTCCAAACAAGCCAAAAGCTTGGGGCTGGAGGGTTCCCGCAGCCAGAACTGCGTCTAAAGTAACCAGAGCTCCAGTCGCACTCCCACCAGGTACCCTCCTCAGCTCACGGTGTGTCCCTACCTTGCAGTTCTGGCACATTCCACCAATGAAGAGAGGATGCTCCAGGGTGACATTGAGGCTCCCACATGATATGCAAATGTCTGCAAATCAGCATGATTGCAGTGAGCATTGTCAAAGTCCCAGAGAAGTTCCAGAAAGGGGCGCCAGAGCAGCAGCCAAAGCAGCAGTACCCAGGCAGTAAGCACCACCTCCCCAACCTCAAAAGCCCATTTATCTCTCAGGGTAGCAAGGCCACCATCCAGGAACAGGCAACACCATGACAGGAGCCCACTTGTGAGAACAGGGCCTAGAACAGTCCCCACCCACAAAAGCCAGTCGTCGACACTGACAGGAAGGCAAAACCGTGGCACTGGGAAGACAGACGCTGTGTGAAGCAGGCTGACAGTGGGGTATGTGAAGAGGTCCCACACGGAGTGCTTAGGGTCCCTTCCTAAGACCCTGTGCCAACGCCACCCCATGCTTGTGCCGCACAGGGAGCCAAGCTCAGCCTGTGCTAAGAGGATCCCGGCTCTCAGGCAACACTCACCCTCAATGTTCCGGCACTTCTGCCGCACCTCGTACACCAGCCGCTCTGCAGGGGGAGGAACGTGTGCATCACGAGGCTGTCCAGCCAGGCCCGCCCCCCGGGAGGCCCAGGGTCACTCTCCAGAGCAGACCACCTACCTCTTGTGCGCTCATCAATAATCTCCTTAACCTTGGGCTTCTCTGTTGTGCTCTTCCTTGGCTTTTTAGCTGGTGGAGGGGGGGCATATGCAGCTGCCTCAGGCTCGACCCACATGTCTGTGTAAACTTCCTTGTAGGGATTCTTCTCCTCTGCACCAGAAGGCAGGTGACCAGGTCAGTTGCAGGCAGACACAGAACCCCGGCTCCCCTTCTGTGCTACCTACAGCGGGGTACATTTAGTCCCCAACCAGCTCCGACCTCCCAATTCCTGGGTCCCAGGAAGCTAACAGAACAGGTTATTCTGGAGGCCCAGAGGAGCAACACCTTGAGCCCAGGGGGAGCCCCAGGAGGCTGCAGCAATTCCCACCAGAGCTCTCTGTGGAACCTCAGCAGCCCTTCCCAAGTGTAGATTCCCCAGCCCCGGCAGGTAGGGATTCCAGGAGACCTGGTCTGCATTTACCTTCTGGTGGCTCCAGGCCCTTGGGGCCGGAGGGCTGGAACCCTCCGAGGGCCCATTCGATCATCTGCTTGTTCTGCACCTCCACGGCCTTAGCGGTGTCGCTCTCGTCATTGTCATGGCAGGCCGGGAACAGCTTCCCTGCACGGCTGCTGGCCACCTGGGGGCAACACGCAGGAGCAGGGGTCAGGTGGAGCGGCTGAGAGGCCCAACTGAGAGCAGCCAAGGCAGGGAGGGACAGGGAGTGAGAGATCAGTCAGAGGAGCCAGGGTGCAGAAATGGCAATGGCTGCTGGGAGCAAAGGGGCCTCTCTCTAAGAGCTCCAGTCTCCAGGCTCTCTGGCAGCCCCCAGCACGGCCCCTCCTCTGAGCTGGGGGTACGGGTACCCCACCTGCTCACCTGCAGGACTTCGTAGATGGCCTTCCGGTACATGGGCTGCTTGTTGTAGGTAGCCTGGTGAAACGCGCTGCAGAAGGAGCTCAGCGGCATCAGCTTCTCAACACACACCTGGGGAAGAGCAGTCTCCTTTGCTCCTCCTCTCTCTCATGACCCCATCTCCCAGTGGCCAGGGCCCAGGAATGCTGGGAGTCCATCTGGGCTCTTACAGGACCAGAAGCTCCATACCCGGGCAAGCAAGGGAGGGGCCCAGACCAAGAGCAAGGGGGTCACGCTCTGAGCTGGGGCTACAAGCTAACCATCTCCAAGGCTTTCTCCACTGCACACACAGTGCATGGGCGGAGCCCACATCTACCACATCTACCACCCAATCCAGGCTGCCAGGACCCCGTTCACACCTGCAGGCAAACCCACAACTTACCACCGAGAACTTGCCATCTCCAAACCACATGACCCAGCGGGTGCCTTCGGCTGCTCGACTCCGGCCCGTCATCCACCAAGACACAATACGGCCTGGCCACCAGGAGAAGCCCCGCAGTTTCCCCCACACCAGCTCCCCAATGCCAAAGCCCCGGCCGTCCTGGAGCCCCAAGGAGCAGAAATCATTACATGATGGTCACGAGGCCCCGCCACCCTGGTCCCCCCATGGCAACCCCAGCCCCAAGCCTCTGGGGGCAGACAGCCAGGAGAGAGCTCCATGTGCATGGAGGGAGACAGCAAAGTCGGGAGGTGAAGAGGCTCAGGGTCAGGTGGAGAGAGCAAGCGGCCAGTGGGAGATGGAGAGCAGGACGGGAAGAGCTGGCAGTGGAGGCCCGGGAAAGGGCGGACAGGGCTGGTGAAGAAGCAAGCCGCTCACCTCATATTCCGGTTCGTCGTCGGCTGCTTTGGTGGCATTCTTGTCCCCAGCGTCAGCGCCCACAGGCTCAGGTGTGGTGGCCACAGTGGGGGAGGCAGGGTCAGTGGGCTGCTGCACGGCAGGAGGGCTGGCCTCTTCCACCTTCTGTGACTCCCCAGAGCCCTGGTTTTCTTCCACAGCATTCATTACTGCAATTACCTTGGCTTTCTTCTCAGCCTGGGGAGACAAGGAACCACCACCACCTTGACCCCTGTGGACTCTCGCAGGACTCAGGGGCTGTACCCACCTCGTATGGTTGGTAGGGGGTGACAGTGACGTGGGGAGGGAAAGGGGCCAGGGAGCTCAGACTGGCCTGCCTTGGAAAGGGAAACAGCTGAGGCCAACAGGTGAATGTGAATGCAAAACACCTGGCTCCATTTCAGCCACCTTCCCTGCCTCTCAGAGAACTCTCCACCACTGGCCTCATCTCCCCTGCCACCTTCCCTGCCTCTCAGAGAACTCTCCACCACTGGCCTCATCTCCCCTGCCCGCCCTCCGATCTGGAAAGAATTCCATTCACGTATGGATCATGCACCGCTGTTCAGCCATAGATACTGGCTCCCTCCTTTCATTCCTCCCAGTCATGAAGGGGAGAGCTCATCTTCCCCCCACCACTTTCCTCACCAATCCATCCTCTTCCTAGTTTCCAGACCACAATTCTAGTTCTGTGACGTCCACTGACTTAACATGCACATCTCCCACCTCTGCCTCAGCACCACAGAAGTTCTCCAAGAGCCCAGCTGCCCCCACCTTTCCAGAGTGCTCAGGTTCCAGCCAATGTGCTGTCCCCTTCTGATCTGTACCTACATCTGTTCAAAACCCAGGCGAGGCACCCTCTCTGCTATACCACCAGCAAATTCATAATCCAAACCCCAGGTCTGCTCCCACTGAACAGCCTCCTTCCTCTCCCAGCATCACATTTGTCTTTGAGGCTATGATCCACGTGCCCGCCCCTCCTCAAAACCTGCGCCACGGTCCCTCCTTTAAAGGAAGATGAAACCCTCCGTTCTTAGTTCTGAGACTCATTCAACTCAACCCGTTACTGAATCTAGGATGCATGCATGGCCCTCAAACTTCAAGGCTCTGTTCCCATTTCCACTAAGACAGATTCAGGGGGAATAAAAAAAAAGCTTTTTTTGGTGCTGGGAATGGAACCCAGGGCCTCCACAGACCACGCACGTGCTCCATCCCTGAGATACATCCTCAAAATCCCATTCACCATGCCTTCTCACACACAGCTTTCTAGAAGAATCATGAGCTACAAATGCAAATCCTCAGTATTTGCCGAAAAAAATCAGAAAGCAACTAGTAGTGCAAGAAAGTGCTCCAAACCAGAACTCAACACCCTCGGTCTCATTAGGGGCGTTCTCTCTGCAGTTGCTCCAACCTAAAAGGGCATTTGAATTGCAGATTTCTGGTCACTTTTCCCAGCCCGGTTCAGAATCTGACATACATATCTCAAGGATTCCAGCGATTCTCCCAAGCACTGTTTGTCAATGAGCCCAAGCCCAAGGGTCCCAGCTAGTGTACCTACTGGTAAGTTATTTCACTCAATCTTCAAGAGGAGGAGCTGGCAACACACCAAATTTGTTTCTTCTGGCGATTATCTTAGCTCTTTCTCTGATTTAACAAACTCTAAAATGAGATAAAGTATCTTTGCCCCCTCCCATCAACAGCTGGGAAAGTGAGTCGGTGGGGAGGAGAATGCAGAACTGCTCAACCTTCCCCAGCCCCACCCTCACCTGGCCAGGACTTCGCCCTTTCCTCCCTCCTATCAATCAGCCATCATCTCCTCCCCCAAGTAGGTGCACCGGGCTCTGCCTCCTGGGAGGGGGCTGCTCCGGGAAGCCAGCTCTTCTCCCGGGAACCGGAGCAGCACCAGTCACACGCACAGGGAAAGCCCTGCCTAGATGTCTTGCTTTCTCCCACCGCGCCTGCCTTCCCATCCAGGCAGGGGCAAATGACTGGGATGCGGCCGCTGCCCAGGATGCCCCAAACACCCTGCGTGCAGGCCCGACAAGGGGTGCAGGAGGCACAGGGCAGGAGGGCACGCCTGCTACCACTTCCACAGCAAGCAGCAGCCTGTGGGCGCGCGTTCCTCCCCAGCCCCCAGGTCTAGAAAGTAGTCGTGCCTGCCACCACCCTCGTTACTCCCCCGGCCCCTTTGTCTCTCTCTTCACACCCTCCACAGCAGTTCCTGAAATTCTTCTTCTCCCACAACTTCCCCTGCCTGTCAGATGCCGCTGCTGATAGCTGCTCCGCATCTCCAACCCACTTGGCGCAGGAGAAAGCGCGTCCAACACGGTCTGGGCTGGCAGAGGATGCGGCCCCACCAGGACTGGGCGC